ATTTGGTACGATTAGAATCCATTGTTAAGAATGCTATAGTAAGTAAACAACATGCTGTATCAATTTTCTTTGATCTTGAGAAAGCTTATTATACGACCTGGAAGCATGGCATTTTGAGGGATTTACATGACTTTGGTTTGAGAGGCTGTTTGCCTCTTTTTATATCAAAGTTTTTGAAAGACAGACAATTTCAAGTCCGAGTGGGTTCAACCCTGTCTGATCATTACAATCAGGATCAGGGTGTCCCTCAAGGCAGTGTTTTGTCTGTTACTTTATTTAGTATCAAGATTAACAGTTTATCCAAGGTTTTAAACGATTCCATTGATGGATCACTTTTGTGAATGATTTTAACATTTCTTGTCGTGGTAAAAATATGCATACTATTGAACGGCAATTGCAGTTGTGTTTAAATAAAATAAATAAATGGTGTCTTGAAAACGGTTTTAAATTTTCCAAATCCAAAACTAATTGTCTACTCTTTTGTAGAAAATATAAACCGCATAAAGATCCTGAACTATCTTTAAATGGCACTCCCATCAAAGTTGTTAAGGAGGCCAAATTCTTGGGTCTAATTTTCGACTCCCATTTAACTTTTTTGCCACATATTAAATCACTTAAAGCCAAATGCCTGAAGGCACTCGATTTGTTGAAAGTTGTTTCCAACTCAAAGTGGGGAGGGGATCATGCTACCGTCCTCCACCTGTATCGATCATTGGTCCGCTCGAAACTTGATTATGGCTCCATCGTATATGGCGGAGCCTGCAAAAGCAACCTAAAACTACTTCATTCTGTCCACCACCAAGGCTTGGGTCCTTTAAAACCTCTCCTATTGATAGTCTATATGTTGAAGCAGATGAGCCTTCTCTTACACAACGCTTATAAAATTAACTTTACAGAATATTACAAAACTTTATTCCAATGAGTCAAACCCTGCATATAACTGTGTCTTTAATCCACTATGTGAAGATCTGTATAACAAAAAGCCTTCTCTTGTTCCGCCTCTTGGTATAAGATTGAAACCTTTCCTTTCTGCTGCTGGCATTGAGCTAGAACATACAGCTCCTTCCCGTTTTCTTTCTTCTCCGCCATGGCAATTGGTTAGGCCTGAAGTTGACCTAACATTAACTACATTTAAAAAATCAGAAACAAATGAATTACAGCATAAACAAGAATTTAGTCAATTAAGAAATAAATATAAAACATATAAATCCTTAGTTACAGATGGGTCCAAGGATGGTGGCGCAGTGGCATGTGCCACTGTCATTGGATCCAAAACAATATCTTCTCGACTACCAAATAACAGCTCTATTTTCACAGCAGAAGCAAACGCCATCTTAACAGCTCTTAAATATATTAATAAACATCGTAAATATAAACAATATATCATCTTTTCAGATTCTCTTTCGTGTCTTCAGGCTATTAAAAATCTTTCTTGCAAACATCCACTTTTATTAGAAATTATTGAATTGTACAATGAACTTGCTACTGGCCAATGCGACATCGTCTTTTGTTGGTTACCCAGCCACGTTAGCATTTCTGGGAATACAATGGCCGATCTTGCTGCTAAGGCAGCACTCAACAAATCTGTGACACCACTTCTTATTCCATACTCTGATTACAAAGCCAGCATTAGAACATACATCCGCGATCTAATGCAGAAGAAGTGGGACACCCAAGTAGGTATTAATAAATTACATGGAATAAAACCCTACATTGGTTACACCTACTTGGGTTGTCAGTCCAGATTTGAAGAGGTCATTATGCGGCGATGTCGCATTGGCCATACTAGATATACCCATGAATATTTGCTTAAAGGCGAAGATCCTCCGTTTTGCATCCCTTGTGATGAAAGAATCACAGTCAAGCATGTCTTGCTTGACTGCATTGAATATTCCATCACAAGGGATATCTATTTCAAATCCAAAACTCTGAAGGATCTTTTTAATAATGTCAGTTCTCATTTAATTATTGACTTTTTAAAAAAAAATAGATTTGTTGAGTGATTTGTAAATAAATATATATTTTATTATTGGTAGTTTAGATTAGCAGCTGAGATTGTTAGTGGCTGTATCCTCAAAGGGGTTGAAGTATTGTAAAATTATTGTCCTCCTGAGAGGGTACGTAAGTCCCAAAACATTTAGTCAATCTAAGTGTACCTGCTTTTTAATCGTAGAATAAGTGTGTTTTAATTTATGGCTCGATTTCTCTTCTGTCGCCAATGGCTGAAGGGATGGTGTAAATCCAACTAGGGTCCATGCAGGTAGCAAAAGTAATGTAAGTCCCCATGGTTCCTAGTATGGTGATCTCCCTTCAGTTGTTGGCGATCTATAGCCTGTTTTTATATTGTATTGTCTTCGTAAATAAAATAGTTTTACATGTTCATGCTAGTTTTAGACTCCATCTGTGATGCTCTAGTTATTTTACAGTCCTTCGCTGACTGATTCTTTAGCAACTTTAATTTATTATTTATATAAATCATTTCTCGTCACGATATGGCTGCAATATTGCCGAGGTGACGTTAAATACTAACTCACTCACTCACTCACCACAACATAACCAACACGCTCCAAGATGAACACACCACACCTACACACACGTCACATGATGCCACACACACGCCCTACACCCACGTCACATAGACTTATAACAAAAGCACTTGTGACACACGACATCACACTGCTGTTCTCATGTCACATACCCACATCACTAACTACGCTCATGACACATGACACATGACACTTGACATATGACAGCGACACCAATAACTCCACTCATCTCACATAAGCTCACAACGAAAGCATTTTAATAGTCTAAACTTTCAAAATCACGTAGATGATCCTGGTTTTCTGAGCAGATAATGGAGTGCAATTGTCAGCATGTGTTGCTGGATCGATATAAAATGATAATGTTTAGATGTTTATTTGACACGGACACAGTATCGAGTGAAACTGAAACAACAGCTTTTAACTATATGCTGTCGCACCATTGACATGGGAACGAGTGTGTTGGGTGAAACACTAAAAAAACTGTTAATGTACACATTGCGTATGTATGCTACGATACGCACCCAAGTTAACAACAATATTTTGTTAAACTCTGAGCACTGAATATACATACACCCATGACTAAAATGCAGTGAACACGTAATGTTGTCTCCAATATACAGTGCCATTTGTAAGGTGGTGAAAGGTACTATGTTATATTGTTTCAGTAAAGTACAGATTATGTAGTGAAATGTTTACATTACCAAGAAAGTGTTATCCCAAATATAACAAATGTTGAATATTATATGCTGCGAACCCTTTTGGCTTTTTGTGTGTGTGTATATATATCTCTCCCTCTCTCTCTGTTTCTTTTGTTTTTAGGGAGTTTAGGGGATGCGAACCCTTTTGGTTTGGTTTTGTTGCATATCTCTCTCTCTCATGTGGCGTGTTTGCAGGGTGATGTGACGTGTGTGTAGTGTAGGGTGACGTCACCATGTGACGTGTGTGTAGGTTGTGTAGTGGTTGTCATTTGACGTGTGGGTAGGGTGTGGTGTGGTCGTCATGTGACGTGTGTGTAGGGTGTGGAGTAGTCATGTGCCGTGTGTAGGGTGTTGTGTGGTCGTCATGTGACGTGTGTGTAGGGTGTGGTGTGGTCGTCATGTGACGTGTGTGTAGGGTGTTGTGTGGTCGTCATGTGACGGGTGTGTAGGGTGTGGTGTGATTGTTGTGTGACGGGAATGAACGGTGTGGTGTGATCGTCATGTGACGTGTGTGTAAGGTGTGGTGTGGTGTGGTTGTTATGTGACGAGGGTGTAGGGTGTGGTGTGATTGTTGTGAGACGGGAATGAACGGTGTGGTGTGGTCGTCATGTGACGTGTGTGTAGTGTGTGTTGTGATCGTCATATGACGGGTGTGTAGGTGTGATGTGATCGTAGTAGTGTGTAGCGTGTGTTGTGGTCGTGATATGACGGGTGTGTAGGGTGTTGTGGTCGTGATATGACGTGTGTAAGGTATGTGTTGGTGTGGTCGGGTGTGATGGTCGTCATGTGACGGGTGTAAGGTATGTGTTGTCGTCGTGATTGTGAGGGGTAGTGTCGTCATGTGGTGTGGTGTGGTCGTCATGTGACGGTCGTTTGGTGATTGTGGATATGGTGTGGTCGTCATGTGATATGTGGGTTGGTGTTGTCATGCGTGGGTGTAGGGTATGGATCGTGAAGTGTGTGTAGGTTGTGTGTGGTTGACATGTGATGTGCGTGTAGGGGTGTGTGTGTGGTTGTCATGTGACGTGTGTGTATGGTGTGGGTGGTGTGGTCGTTTGGTGATTGGTGTGTGTGACGGGTGTGTAGGGTGTGGTGTGGTCGTCATGTGACGTGTGTGTAGGGTGTGGTTCATTTTGATCTTGCAATACCAGTTACAAAGGAACAAAATGTCCACGCTACTAAAATTATCAGTTGTTTTGAGTAAGTAAGTGAGTGAGATGAATTTTTACGTCAAATCGGCAGTATTCCAGTCAGTTATGTAGATATCCATCCGCCAATCCACCCATGCATCCAGACATCTGGATATCCCGACAGGTTGACCTTAGTCCTTATTTCCTATTAATGGACACTTTGAGGTTCCGTGGCATTCCAAAGATCATTCACGCACTGAAGAACGTTCACACATGTACGGGACAAACTGCATGTTAGGCGAATATTACATGTCAATTCACTTATTGATGTGCTTTTGTTTTATAATTTCAGTTTAATTAAGACAGTAGGTATATTCTGCTAAAATAATTATAATTGTATCATCCATTGTCAGTTGAGTGAACACGTTTTCTTTTAAAAACAACATCATACAGCAGTAACACTACTGAACCTAATATGTACTCATGATCTAAACAAAATTGTACAATCGACTCTGGTTTTAGCACCTTATCAAGCCGAGTTCTCTGGCCTCTTCAGCTATTTACATGTGCTCTGATTTAATACATTGTGTTAGCCTCGTGCAAGATTCTGCAACAGCTGCATTTGTCCCGGATCTGCCCACTCCTAAAACAAGACATAAAAGCCGAGTTGTCAGCCCCCCTGCACACACGGCGTTGTGTGCTGCTGAGTTGAAGTCACCTGTCATGCACGTCGAGGTCCTGTCTGCCCTGCTTTGCCTTGTGGCCACAGCGTATGCAGGTAACTATTTTCTTTATTTATTTATGAATTTCAGTAACCATGTCATGTCAATTGCTTCCCGGAGTGGCCTGTGTATACCATTTCTGCCAACCAATCCACAGGGTATAGTTGATGCTTCTTCAGACCCTCCTGACGGAAACATATATTTCATGACATTTGAATATCTGGAAATGTTCCTCTTTCATGGCATAATGCCATTTAAATATCATCCCTGTACCAAAGCCTGGACGGGATCAGACCAGATGGTCAATGGTACTTCGGAAACCACACTGGAGGTCACACTAAGGAAGTTAATGGTCTCCAAGTACTAGATTAATCGATTGTTGAAAATTCGCTCGATTGTTTTACAAACACAGCTAGTTAGTGATATAGGACGGTAGTTTGAGGGATCGGTATGATCCCGGCCAGGCTTTTGTATAGGGATGATAATGGCATTATGCCACGAAGGAGGAAAGTTTCCGGTTGTCCAAATGTCATCAAATATATTGAGTAGAGTTTCCAAACTTGAATCTGGAAGGTGTTTCAGAAGTTGATAATGAATATCATCAGCTCCCGCCACAGTGTCGTGAGCCTGCCCCAGGGCAGTACGTACTTCATGGAGAGAAAACGTTTCATTGTAATCCTCTCCATTATCAGAGTTAAAATTGACTGATTTCTTTTCTTGTTGGGTTTGGTATTTCTGGAACTGAGGGTTATTATTAGATGAGGAGGAGTGGTTTGCCAAAGTTTCGCCAAGTTTGTTTGCAATTTCAAATATATTTGTTAAAAGAGAGCCACCATCTTTAAGATGGCCAACTCCAGATTTGGATCCTTTGCTCTTAATCTTTTGCATGCTGTTCCGCACCTTGGACATGCGTGTGCGGGAGTTGAGTTTGGACACCTACTTCCTCCATGACCGGCGTTTAGTTTGTTTAAATGTACGTCTTGCCCTGGCATTTGTCATTTTAACGGCATTCAGTTGGAACAATGGCCAATTGGGCTTAGTAAAATTCTACCTTGTTGAAGGTGGTTCATCCACGGGATTTATAGGAGTAAGAATTGTTGGGAAGTGGCCATTTCCACAAAGGTCATTGCGGACCGACCATTCAAGCTTGTCTAAAAGATTAGAATCTGTGAGTGATAGTATGTTCTAGTGGCAGGATGGAGATAAGTGTTTGATCCATCGTTGAAGATGCATAGATCATTATTTGAGAGAAAATCTTCAAGGACCTTTCCCTTATTATTTGTATCAGTACTCCCCCATAGAGGGTTATGGCTGTTCAGGTCGCTTATGATTATGCAGGGCTTCGGGTGCTGATCATACAAGTTCTGAAGATGTGCTAGGCGTATAGTTGAGGAAGGGGGGACGATATAGTGAACATAGTGTAAACCCTATGTTCAGAGTCATGCGGACAGCAACAGTTTGTAGGTTGGTGTTAAGTGGAACAGGGTTATGGAGGATGTCCTGACTCACCAGGATAGAAGTGCCTCCTGTAGCTTTTACACCGGGAGGAGAAAAGGAGTGGTAGGAAATGTACCGACGGATGTCAAATTTATCAGTCCTTTTTAGGTAGGTTTCTTGGAGACAAAACCTTGGAGGCTGTGCCTCAGGAAATATGGAATTTACAAGGGTCTTACAGTCAAAAACACCGTGTAACTAATAGGGTTACGACACGATTGAGAACCATGGCCGAACTTTTATAATTTATAAGACCGGAGTGAATTGGGTACATACACCTCCACTCCGATGATCAAACATCCTGCTTTGATTGATGATGGAATAGTAGAACGAGCAAACGTCAAGAGATACGTATTAGTTTTAACTGTGACACCCTCTCTCTAAACGGTGAAGCGTTTTACTGCTGTAACAGCTTGTTCTTTTAGCTCTGTAGCAATATCTTCTTCAGTCATATCAGAAAGACATCGCGCTCTGTCGTGAACGATGCCACGACAGGAATTTAAAGTTCTGTGACTAGAATATTTGGCAAAATTCACAAAGAGTGATAAACGGTTTAAATCACCAAAATATATCGACGTTGAATGTGACGCCATGAATACTTTATTTACAAAACTGAACAGAAACAGTAGCACGTCACATTGTCTACCACAAAGTACAAAACCTATTTGGTCGAACAAGGGACCACATTGTGCAGAATCGCAAGCCTGGTATTAAGAAGTATGAACATAGGTTTGAAGCTTACTACAATAGGGGGTTGATGGGCTATATCAAATGTTCAAGATTAGACTCATAGTGACGAAAAACATTATTGACGAAAGCCTGTTCGTGCCCCCTCCGAGATGCTGACACCAGGGATACAGGGGTGTTACACTCCAGAAAATATGACATGAACAGCTGCATTTATCTATTAATTTAAAGTCAGACTGGTTCGGCCCTTGACAAGAAATTGGAGGTAAACATTATTCACCAGATTGGCCCATGAACGACCGCCTTCTGGCATAGGACATATATATAACATATATAACATAATTTGAAATACAAACATTCATTGTCAAAAGAATGAACAATAATTGCATAAGAATTTTGTGGGACACCCGAGTAGAACTGAAGCCAACAATTGGTTATACCTACTTGGGTTGTCAGTCAAGACGTGATGAGGTAATTTTACGACGATGTCGTATTGGCCACAGTCAGTTTACTCATGACTATCTGCTGAAAACGGATGGGGATGGACCCCCCATGTGTATCTCTTGCGATGAGGTTTTCACCATCAAGCATATTCTGCTTGATTGTGTGGACTTATTGTCTGCAAGGGACTCACATTATGATGCAACAAGTCGGAAAGATCTGTTCTCCCGCGTGAGCGCTCATCTGATAGTGAACTACCTGAGGGAAGTTAGAATTTAAATGACAATGTAATGAATATATGTTATTGAAATAAAACTCACTTTGACACTGCACTTACAATGTTTATCAATGCAGACTTGTTCCCGTCACTATATGGCTGGAATACTGCCGATGTGACGTAAAGCCCAACTCAACTCAACTTTTGTCCATGGACAGGGCTTGGCGTGACCAGCCGATTGATTGAATCGAGCCAATTCTACAACCCGTCAAGCTGAAGTCAGGGGCAAAGTGGTGTCTGGGCAAAAGAAACACGGTTCCAGGCTCTTATTGCCCTCAACCACAAGACTCCCATCCTCCACCGACACAGGGTTGCAACCCACGGGAAACACGTTGCCCAAATCGGTCTTACGATCAGCAATGAGGTGATGTAGACCTATATGTCCCCGGGTCCACAAGGGCCACTGGTGGGCTCTTCAAAGGTGCCTGGACTCATCAGGGACAAACATTGTATCCTATACAATTCCCCATTTGAATTCCTCATTTTCACAGTTTAAGACAACTTGATTTTGCATGTGTTTGTGACAGGTGTTTAAACGAGCTCCAAATGTCACTAAGTCCGCTGATACATAGACAACATCTACTATCTAAGTCGTTATTTTCCACACAAGGAAAGGGGTTTTCTGGCATATTTTACATCAATTCATAAATATGATGAAAGCTGAAGGGTATATATCTTTGTATCGACAAGAGGACCGTGTTCGATTCCCCACGTGGGTACAATATGTAAAGCCCATTTTTATGCAGTCCCTCCTTCCTTTGCTAGTACTTTAAGCTTTCTGTTTCACAGATGTTCTACTTTGTTTCCAGGTGATGCTAAGAATGATTGACATTATTTGTTATCAGGATGCCCACTCGGATTTCATCAAAACAGAAGATCCTGCTACTGGTTCTCAACCATTAGAAGTTCGTTTGCAGAGGCGGCAGTAAGTGTTATAGGACTATTATGTACATTCTTCTCACATTTAAAGGAACTGAGACAATGAAATACTGTATCCCACTGGGCTTCAAATTACCACGCCACCAAAAAACAACTAGTATCACAGAAATTGAATATTCTTGCCACCTGTGAGTGAGCGAGTTTAGAATTGTAAAAAACATATCCTTTCTGGACTTTACAAAATTCAGTCTTTCATACTTATTAATCCAGGTAGGGTCCATGCAGGTAGCAAAGACACTCTAAGTCCCCATGGTCCCTAGTATGGTGATCTACCTTCAGTTGTTGGCGATTACTGGCCCATTATTACATTGTATTGTCCAAAATAGTTTTCTACTTTTAAAGTTACATGCCAGCTAGTTTTAACTCATTTTGTGATAATGTGGTGGTTTTACTGTCCTTCGTTGACAGGGTTTTATATATTATCTGTATGTATTATAAGTTAAGAACTAGTTTTAGTCACGATATGGCTGAAATATTGCGGATGTGACTTTAAATTTTAACTCCCTCACTCACTCACTTTCATACTTATGCAATAAATAAAGTATCAAACCACCATAGTAATTGGTTTGGTAAAATGTAAGTTGAAAGATTTTGGCCTCTTGTAAGGTCCGGGTCAGAACTGCAACCCAGGCACGCCATCAGAGGCGACTAACGGTCGGTTGGTCCAGTGCGTGGACTTGGTTGACTCGTGTCATTGTGTTCCAGTTAAGAATATTGACACCCATGAGGTTAAGCACTGGATTGTCTGACTGGATTCAGACACATAAAATATCTTATTTGATATATACTTCCATTTAGTATTGTCGTTTTATATATTTTGAAAAAGAATATACTCAAAACAATTCAACCTAAATATTATTTTCCATGCACATTGTCACATATGGTTTCTGAGGCGCAAACAGGATATAGAGCTGAAAAACAAAGAATGACACATTCATAGAAAATACTTGAATATTTGTCTTGAACTTGAATTAGTTGATGCACCGTGTAACTTAACCGAAACAATTAATAGTATTTTTGCCTTTGGGTAATTAATGTAAAATCCCATTAAAATTTCATATCAATTTGTGAACAAGAAGGATAGCGCCCAACGAAACTGCGTGGCCAGCTTTCTACAAAAGCTGTTAGCATAAGAAGTTTCAAATACGTAAGAAATATATAACGATGACATAGCTGCCATAAAGGATGACGTGAACCCAGAAGTGTCAGTATTTTGTATCTCTGTGGCATCTTGTCAGTGACGGATGTGAACAAAACTGCCCGAGGAGTTTCATCGCAAGAGGATATTCATCGGACCTGCCTTTTTAAATCCCAAACGCAGATGTTGACATTGGGGAAAGTGGAATGTTTTTGCCGCAAAGTTTGGTTTTTTTCCTGTTCATACGTTTATTCCAAACTTGTCAGTGTATAATTTGACATCAAGGTCATTTTCACAGAAGACATCTGGCAAAGGGGAGGTAAAATACTGTGTTCATGTCATGAACCTTTCACTCTGTCAAAAAATATTTCCTTTTATAGATAAGATAGAATATTTCATAAAAAAACATAAATTAAATAAAAACTATTTCATGTTCTTGAGATATGGTTCACCTGAGATCTTGGCAATCTGGAATATTAACATATAATTTAACCATTAATTTTCTTTGCCTGATTTTGACAATGTAGAAAGCCTGAAATCCTTTCACATGACTAAAATACTGTTCTCTGTTTGAATTGTTTGTTTTATTTTAGAACTGACATCTATAGTATCCACATTTATGGCAGTATCAATGTGAAAAGTATAATTTTGCACACCTTTTAATGTTAATACCCACTGGGCTTCAAATTACCACGCCACCAAAAAACAACTAGTATCACAGAAATTGAATATTCTTGCCACCTGTGAGTGAGCGAGTTTAGAATTGTAAAAAAACATATCCTTTCTGGACTTTACAAAATTCAGTCTTTCATACTTATTAATCCAGGTAGGGTCCATGCAGGTAGCAAAGACACTCTAAGTCCCCATGGTCCCTAGTATGGTGATCTACCTTCAGTTGTTGGCGATTACTGGCCCATTATTACATTGTATTGTCCAAAAATAGTTTTCTACTTTTAAAGTTACATGCCAGCTAGTTTTAACTCATTTTGTGATAATCTGGTGGTTTTACTGTCCTTCGTTGATAGGGTTTTATATATTATCTGTATGTATTATAAGTTAAGAACTAGTTTTAGTCACGATATGGCTGAAATATTGCGGATGTGACTTTAAATTTTAACTCCCTCACTCACTCACTTTCATACTTATGCAATAAATAAAGTATCAAACCACCATAGTAATTGGTTTGGTAAAATGTAAGTTGAAAGATTTTGGCCTCTTGTAAGGTCCGGGTCAGAACTGCAACCCAGGCACGCCATCAGAGGCGACTAACGGTCGGTTGGTCCAGTGCGTGGACTTGGTTGACTCGTGTCATTGTGTTCCAGTTAAGAATATTGACACCCATGAGGTTAAGCACTGGATTGTCTGACTGGATTCAGACACATAAAATATCTTATTTGATATATACTTCCATTTAGTATTGTCGTTTTATATATTTTGAAAAAGAATATACTCAAAACAATTCAACCTAAATATTATTTTCCATGCACATTGTCACATATGGTTTCTGAGGCGCAAACAGGATATAGAGCTGAAAAACAAAGAATGACACATTCATAGAAAATACTTGAATATTTGTCTTGAACTTGAATTAGTTGATGCACCGTGTAACTTAACCGAAACAATTAATAGTATTTTTGCCTTTGGGTAATTAATGTAAAATCCCATTAAAATTTCATATCAATTTGTGAACAAGAAGGATAGCGCCCAACGAAACTGCGTGGCCAGCTTTCTACAAAAGCTGTTAGCATAAGAAGTTTCAAATACGTAAGAAATATATAACGATGACATAGCTGCCATAAAGGATGACGTGAACCCAGAAGTGTCAGTATTTTGTATCTCTGTGGCATCTTGTCAGTGACGGATGTGAACAAAACTGCCCGAGGAGTTTCATCGCAAGAGGATATTCATCGGACCTGCCTTTTTAAATCCCAAACGCAGATGTTGACATTGGGGAAAGTGGAATGTTTTTGCCGCAAAGTTTGGTTTTTTTCCTGTTCATACGTTTATTCCAAACTTGTCAGTGTATAATTTGACATCAAGGTCATTTTCACAGAAGACATCTGGCAAAGGGGAGGTAAAATACTGTGTTCATGTCATGAACCTTTCACTCTGTCAAAAAATATTTCCTTTTATAGATAAGATAGAATATTTCATAAAAAAACATAAATTAAATAAAACTATTTCATGTTCTTGAGATATGGTTCACCTGAGATCTTGGCAATCTGGAATATTAACATATAATTTAACCATTAATTTTCTTTGCCTGATTTTGACAATGTAGAAAGCCTGAAATCCTTTCACATGACTAAAATACTGTTCTCTGTTTGAATTGTTTGTTTTATTTTAGAACTGACATCTATAGTATCCACATTTATGGCAGTATCAATGTGAAAAGTATAATTTTGCACACCTTTTAATGTTAATACCCACTGGGCTTCAAATTACCACGCCACCAAAAAACAACTAGTATCACAGAAATTGAATATTCTTGCCACCTGTGAGTGAGCGAGTTTAGAATTGTAAAAAACATATCCTTTCTGGACTTTACAAAATTCAGTCTTTCATACTTATTAATCCAGGTAGGGTCCATGCAGGTAGCAAAGACACTCTAAGTCCCCATGGTCCCTAGTGTGGTGATCTACCTTCAGTTGTTGGCGATTTCTGGCCCATTATTACATTGTATTGTCCAAAAATAGTTTTCTACTTTTAAAGTTACATGCCAGCTAGTTTTAACTCATTTTGTGATAATGTGGTGGTTTTACTGTCCTTCGTTGACAGGGTTTTATATATTATCTGTATGTATTATAAGTTAAGAACTAGTTTTAGTCACGATATGGCTGAAATATTGCGGATGTGACTTTAAATTTTAACTCCCTCACTCACTCACTTTCATACTTATGCAATAAATAAAGTATCAAACCACCATAGTAATTGGTTTGGTAAAATGTAAGTTGAAAGATTTTGGCCTCTTGTAAGGTCTGGGTCAGAACTGCAACCCAGGCACGCCATCAGAGGCGACTAACGGTCGGTTGGTCCAGTGCGTGGACTTGGTTGACTCGTGTCATTGTGTTCCAGTTAAGAATATTGACACCCATGAGGTTAATTTTGCACACCTTTTAATGTTAATACCTGCATAAATGTACAAACACGCTGACATTAACTCCTATGAATATGTCAATAATAAAAATATATAATCATAATAATTATCATCAACACACTACATACTATAGACAAGGACACAAAATTAGTGACATCATTCAGGGCAAACTACCATTCGTAACTACTCGCCTCTTTCCATGACCTACAAAAAGACTAGTATGCCATTATAGCCAAGAATCGTGGCAAAGCAATCAAATCGCGCGTATTAAAACGCATTTCGAAGCATGAAAATAGCGGCACCGTCAAACTTTGAAACTTCTCTAAACTATGCAAAGCACAATTTAAACATAAACTTTGAACTAAAGGATCAGCAACTCTCAACACTGAAACATCTTAACGAAGGGAATGAGTGTATAACTGTTTTGCCCATGGGATATGGGATTTTCTAGGAGTACCATGTTTGGTAATTGAAAGTGATATTTCCTTGGAAATAGTTCTAAACAATTTTCATCTCCCTGACCTTTTGCTTTTAGACAAGGCCCAGTCGTGAACATGGCCACGATAGGGGTACGAGTCGCCATCCAGGTTGCCAGAATGACATGAGTAGTTATGAATGCGCAAACTACAACACAAACTTCACTCATACAGTTGTCAGCCAATCAACAAATAGTAACTGTTGTCTGTGCATGTGACAGTTTTCTTCTACTTACTTGGTCAGCCAATCAAACGCCATAGAATCACTTGCAGTTTATACAATTGTCTTCAATAAAGAACACATTTCTCTAGTAAATATCTAAAACAGACGGGTTCTAACATTGTAAGCGTATTATACAGGTACATACATCTGATCACTCTTACACAACATTTCAACATCAGCACAGGATCAACAACAAAATCTGATTAAAGTACTGTGCCTGGATTTTCGAAACTCTCTTAGCGCCAAGATTGTCGTAAGTGCCATACATTAACATTATCGTACAACTATCTTAGCGCTAAGTGAGCTTCGGAAATCTAGGCCCCGAATAAATAACAAACTCTTATACACAGTATAACAACAACAAGTCAGTATTTTATAGCACAATATGCAAACAATTGAGCACTATGTGACTAGACATATTTGCACCAGCGGGGACGAAATGTAGTTATATTGCAAAGAATAATGCATTCGGCAGAATATATAGACATAAAGTAAAAATATTTTCCACAGACCAATATATACTGGGGAAAAAAATAAGGGATCACATGAAAGCACAAGTGTTCCTTTATTTTTTCATATTTGGATTGCGGAAACTTTTGTTTTGATTTTTCAAATTTTGTTTATTCATTTCAGTTCAGAAGGTGTACAGTTGATTACATTTATCAATGTTTTTCAGAGCATCAGCAATGAAGCGCTCAAAAATCATGGACATGTCAGGTGTATGATTTTATAATATATGTAATACATTGTTCAGAGGTTTCCAGCTGGAATGAAATTTAGGCAAAACATTGTTCTTACAAGCAATAATTCTTTCTACTTTGTACACATCTTTGACGATATTAGCAAGACAATCAATGGATAAGCCAGCAGGACAATGTATGTTGCTAACAGACTAACTGAACTGTTGCAAAAGAGAATGTCTTCATCAGAAATAGGAACATCACAATGTGTAGGATTAATAAAGTTTTCAACCTTTCTCCCACAATCCTGTACAAGATTGCACTTTATGAATACACGTTGGAGGCTTTCTGGCTCAAAAAGAGCACATATTTGTTTCAATTATCTTCATTTGCACCAACTCTTTCGCGTATAAATGGCTCTGTTCATAAATATATACTAAAAATCTATAAGCCTTACATGGTTTGTGCAGTATCTGTATTTTTAAAGCAAGATGTCCATGAAATATCTGTATTTAGTTCATTCTGCCATATCTGACAAACTGTAGGTGGAGTATCATTTGCTATATGTTTGTCATAGAAAATTTGAGAAAGTAGGTCTTGAAGATTTGAGTTTAGTGAGAGGTTTTCAGTACCTACGGGATCAGATAAAAAAAGTATTTTTTTCAAGATTTGGGAATATTTATAATCATTTTATTGTACTCTAAAATTGTTCCTTTGGTGCAGTTAAGCTTTTTTTACATCATTGAAAGACAAAAAAAAAAAATGTTTGCCCCATATAAGATTTTCCTTAGGGGGTGATGGTAACACAGAAAATAATATGTACTAAAGTTGATATTGCCGATGTTTTCAAGACTGTAATTTTCCCATGTAAGGTTAGTTTTCTCTTTTTCCAACTAGCAAGAATTTAATTAATTGTTTCTAGTCTTTTTTCTAGTATTGATTACCTATAAATCCTCCAATATATACCAAGGATGTTAAAGTCACCTTCATGCCAGTCTAGGCTATTTTCTGCACATAATTTCACTGTGCTACCAATCATTGAACCTATCCAAATAGCTTTTGTTTTTTCAATGTTTATCTTAGGCCCTGACATTTAATAGAATTTGTGTAAACTTTCTACAACTGCTTTAAGGCCAAATATAATTGAGTATCATCAGCATATTGTTCCAATTTATATTCTTCCTTCAATTGAGTTTAATACCTTTGATATCTTTATTGTCTCTTATCAAAGTACGCTTCAATTTGTGAAGCGTTAAATTCCACTGAATTCACAATTTCGTCCGTTTTCTTCTGGAGAGGAGTTAGTTCAGTATTAATATTGTCTAATTTGCTACCCATGTCGAGCGTTTGGTCCTGAGAGATTTTTCATTGAAAGCTTTCATTTCTTCAAAGTCGCTAACCAACATGGCCGCTGCCTTTGATGCAGTTTTACTTCTTGTAACAATAAAGTTGTCTAAACTGTGTCCCTGTTCCTCTTTACCTTTATTTCCACGTGTGGTCTTCCTTGAGATTGTTTTTGTGTCCATTTAAGACAGATTCAGATGGATTTGGCAGAGGACCTCGCCCTGTCGACATGAGCGCCACCGGAAGTGCCGCAAAGCTGGATTTTTACAAAGTCCATTTCTGTCACAGATAAAAATATGAGCAACTATCACCTTTTTCGACCTGAACAATTTTAGTCTACTGTATTTATGTAATAAAGAGATGCACTGAATAATGAGTGTGTACTTTCAGGGCTACTGTCGATACTTGGAGAGCCACCTTGCCATAATATCAAACAAAGATGAAGATTCGTTCATCAGGGGATATGCTACCCGTCTTGGTGAAGGTGAGACTTTAATATGACCTGTTGCTTTAATTACACCTTGCACTCCCATGCCTGCACCCTTACCTCATACTCCTCACGGCAGGTGCAGCCTGAGACAAACCGCTCCTAAGGGATGTTTGATGAGACTCTCAGGGCTTGTGTTTTGCAATATTACAGCAATGTGTGGAATGATGTCACTGATTTCTCATTACACGACTGTGTTGTAATAAATAAATAGTAGTCAGAGAAGAAGACATCACTGATATTATAATAATCGATTTCAATATTCTTCTGATATAAGAGAATCGTATGCAGAAACATTGCAGTTCTTACCTTTACCAAACACAGCGGGTAATTCTCTTAACCTATACCTACTCTATTAGACAGTTGATACTAGTTTAAACTTTACATAACACAAGTTTATACAATCTATTTCTTGGTATCGATATACTGAATTCCTTCAGCTGTCCCCTGTTTGCAGCTTTCAATTACTGGCTTGGTGCTTCTGATCTGAACATAGAGGGGAGATGGCTGTGGGAAGGACAACGCCGCATGAACTACACAAACTGGAGTCCAGGACAACCTGATAATGCGGGAGGTATCGAACACTGTCTTGAGTTAAGACGGGATTTAGGAAACTATCTGTGGAATGATTATCAATGTCAAAAACCATCACATTTTATTTGTGAAAAGGAACGCATACCATACACCAACAGTTTGCATGCAAACCTGCAACAGAGGGACAGTTTGCATGCAAACCTGCAACAGAGGGACAGTTTGCATGCAAACCTGCAACAGATGGACAGTTTGCATGCAAACCTGCAACAGAGGGACAGTTTGCATGCAAACCTGCAACAGAGGGACAGTTTGCATGCAAACCTGCAACAGATGGACAGTTTGCATGGAAACCTGTAACAGAGGGACAGTTTGCATGCAATCCTGCAACAGGAGGTGAAATAAAGCCTTCAGCATGTTGTCTTGTGTTGTTGTTTTTCTTTGTCTTGTTCTGCTTATATTGAGGCACTTTTGTATCTAAATGGTATTTGATGAGTGAGTTGGCATGGTTTTACACCGCTTATAGCATTATTCCGGTTATACCAAAGCAAGAGTGAGTGAGTGAGTGAGTACCCATGTCGGGAATAGAAGCCAGGTGTTCGGAGAGACGATCGAATGCTTTACCCACTGGGCTACCCTGCCGCCCCTCATAGCATGAGACAACTGAAATAGGCCTCCCACAATTTATCTGAACTCGGGACCTCTGCATCCGTTATTAACAAGAACTCCTTGGACGATAACCATACTGAGTTTGATAATTAGATTATTGTTAGAACGAACTTATAGTCTCTGAATTTGATTTGAAACCATAACCGATTTAACTGAAGACACTGTGTAATCCGCACGAGGTGCGAACTAAACTCATCTGTGAAAAGGGTTGTAGGTGCCTCTCGTATTTTTCTTATACATTGTAACATAATAACATAATCTGTCCCCAAAAGACAAACAACTACTTCTTCAATGCAATAATTTAGTAGGTAATAACCCTTGTTTTCACCTCTCATGCAGTCATTTTTTCAGGGTTCAACTAGGATATCAAAAAATGATGATGAGAATGAATAATTCCATATGAAGCCAATTGTAATTGCAAAAATCATTAGATGCTAGTCCAAGATATACGACATATAATAAAGACCCCTTGATATTCGCTACAGCAGTGTGTGAGTGAGTGAGTTTAGTTTTACGCCGCACTCAGCAATATTCCAGTTATATGGCGGCGGTCTGTAAATAATCGAGTCTGGACCACACAACCCAGTGATCAACAGCATGAGCATCGATCTGCACAGTTGGGAACCGATGACATGTGTCAACCAGGTCAGCGAGCCTGACCACCCGATCCCGTTAGTCGCCTCTTACAACAAGCATAGTCGCCCTTTGTGGCAAGCATGGGATGCTGAAGACCTATTCTATCCCGGATCTTCACGGGTCAGACGCTACAGCAGACAAATAAGAACATCGTGAGACCTTGGTATTAACTCAGAAATCTTGTTCCACGTTGTTATGTGTTGATTCTCAAGTTGAAAGAAAACAAACAACAAGGAAATGTGATGTAATTAACTGTTGTGTTATGAAATTAACTAAGTTTACTAATTTGTAGCCAATGACTACTAAGGTATTAGAGAAGAAGCAAATATAAAAAAAACGAAAAAAATAACTAAAAAGAAAAAAGACCCCAAAGAATGGCAATCCAAACTCAAATGGTACGAAGGAAGTGATTATAGCACTGAAAACAATGATGATAATATTCAATTCATTGCAGTTTCCAAAATAGGCAGAGTATCCGGGAAAAAAATTATGTCCACGCTGCTATTCTTCATGTAGGTTGTAAGATGTAACACGGGATTAAGAGGAAGAGGGAGCTCCTCTTACATACCTATGAACATGTCTGCAGGAGATTTACCAACTGCCTGGGTCAGAATATACTGAAACATTCTGTAGGGTCGTACTTCCCTGTGCTAACGTCCATAACCGTTTAAATATAGCACAAGTCGAAATATAGCAAACCATGTCCCTCAACGACTATCCAAATATACAATTCATTACACTTGGAAGATAATTACACAAAGAATAACACTGCCCCAGTTTGTGTTATAAAGTCGATTCTCTTCCATGTGTATCTACGATTTATGGATGCATATTTGAAAAGGATCGCTGTTCTCCAGAATATCTATGATTTTAGGTACTGAATCCGTGTTTCGCTAAACACTCGTCACTGATACACAATCAATAGCACTGCCACATATCAGTTTGTGTCCTGTTCCATACAAGCAACTAACCTTCATACTAACATTTAAGTTCTAATGGCTCCAAGAATTAGAAAGAGTGGACTCATTCGAGGGGATTGTGATAACAAACAGATCATACACCTGCACAGGAAAGAGGGTTTTGAAAAATGGTTGTTTCGCTGTTATGGAAGAGATAATATATGATATATTTGGTACGAAAACATTAAAGGGAGAAAGTGTAATATTGTTCTAACACAATTCTTTAGCATTAACTGCAAAGAGAAGACCATGAGGACTTTTGAGACCTTTAGCAAATTAATATAACTCATTAACTGGAAAAAAGAAAACGTTCGCAGCCAAACATTTTATGTAAAACGACAAAGCATATTCATACGTTATATTTGAGGTTACACTTTCTCAGTAAAGACAGATTTTAGCACATAATCTGTACTTTACTAAGACAATGTAACATGTTCATTTAACCGCTTGTGAATGGCACTGTGTATTTCGTGAGAACGCTTCGTGATCGTTGCCTTTTATTGATGTGTGCTCGTGTATTCAGTGCTCAAGGTTAAAACAAAATATTATTTGTGAGTGAGGAATTGTATCATGGCATACATACGTGATGTGTACTTTAACGTGTTTGTTTGGATGTTTCAACCAACACATTCGCTCCTAAGTCAGTGGTGCTGTTAAAGGCTGTTGGTTCAGTTTCACTCGATACTGTGTCCGTGTCAAACGCAAATCAATAGATTATCATTATACAACGATCCAACAACACATGTTGACACTGATTTTGTAGCAGACAGTGATGCACAACCGAACTCCACACGTTATCTGCTCACAAAATATACCCAGGACCATCTGTGGGATTTCTGAAACTGAAATTGTACAACTGCTATTTTATGAGTTAATGTGAAGTGAGTGTACATAGTGGTGCGGGTGTCATGTGTCATGAGTATACTTAGTGATGTGGTTATCATGTGTAAAGGGAGTGACGTGAATGTACAGGGTGTCGTGCCTATCGTGTGGAGAAAATGTGAGGAGTGATGTGAATGTCATGTGGTGAGAAAGTAAGGAGTGATGTGAATGTGGTGTTGTGAGAATGTAAGGAGGGATGTGAATGTGGTGTGTCGAGAAAGTAAGGAGTGATGTGAATGTGGTGTTGTGAGAATGCAAGGAGGGATGTGAGTGTGGTATTGAGAGAATGTAAGGGGAATGTGAATGTCATGTTGTAAGAATGCAAGGCGAGCGTTGCATGTGTTGTGAGGAGGGATGTGAATGTGAGGTGCATGTAAGGCGGGATGTGAATGTATTGTGGTGAGAATGTACGGAACGATGTGAACGTCATGTGGTGAGAATGAAAGAGGGATGTGAATGTGGTGTGGCGAGAATCTATGAAAGAATGTGATGTGTTGAGAGAATGTAAGGAGGGATGTGAATGTGTGGCGAGACCGTAAGGAGTGTGAGAATGTAAGAGGGATGTGACTGTGGTGTTGAGAGAATTTATCGGGGATGTGGATGTGTGGCGAGAACGTAAGGGGTGTGTGAATGTCATGTGGTGAGAATGTAAGAGGGATGCGACTGTGGTGTGGCGAGAATCTATGAAAGAATGTGAATGTCATGTGTTGAGAGAATGTAAAGAGGGATGTGAATGTGTGGCGAGAATGTAAAGGGTGTGTGAATGTCATGTGGTGTGGTTGTGTCTATGCCTGCCTGTTGACCAGAAGAGCCAAAACCATCTGCTCAACAAACCTACAAGAAGAAATTGAACACCTAAGGAAAGTCTTTGTAGAACGCAACCACTACCCACCTGAAATAGTCAACAGAACCATCGAAGCAACCAGAATCAGCCCCCATCAAGATATCCATTGCCTACATAGGTAAACCATCACATCAAATCAGCCGACTCCTGAAACAATAGGCAGGCATAGACACAACCTTCTCAGCGTCCTCCAGCCTCAACAACCTCCTCCATGCCAACGGAAGAAAACAACCCGAAATGTGTTATTTATAAAATAAACTGTGATTGTGGACAAAGCTACATAGGTGAAACATCCCGACCCATCAACACCCGAGTCAAAGAACATCGCACCTCTGTTGCTAACTCCGACACCAAATCAGCTATCTCTGACCACATCAAAGCAAACCCCAATTATCAAATAGAGTGGTCCGACTTCACCATTCTCGCCAACAACCAAACGGACTTCACTAAACGCAAGCTCACCGAAACCATTCACATCAAACGCCATAAGCCCACCATCAACCGTGACCAAGGATAACCTATCTGACTCTTATTCATATAAACAATATAAATCCCTACTGACTGTTGAATACCATCTGAACTCATCACTTCCATCTCGCTTGAAAAGGATCTTATCACGCTTCAGATGCAGTAACTTTAGAATAGCTGTCAACACTGGAAGACATCAAGCTACACCATATGAAGAAAGACTCTGTCCTCTCTGTTTATCCCCAAAAAAGTATTTTATTGAAAATGAATATAATGTACTTCTAATCTGTGAAGCTTATATTTTTGTCCGTACTACACTTATTGGTAAATATAGTATGACCAGAAATTATTGAGAATTTTAGGAATATGTTTAATTGGATTTCTAGTATAAACAACCTTGACCAGCTAGCAAGTGCTTGGTTTAATTCAAGAGAGACAACTCTGTTAATCTTTTTCATGATTTGTTAAGAGTTATCCCCCTTTGTTTTCTTGCTAGCAGACGACATTTTCAGTGCTTCTCAGTATGGATGAGTTAGAGAAGAGGAAGTTGATTTTATAGAGTATTATAACAAGGACATCGGATCAGCTAAAGTGATTTCAAGTAGAACAGGCATCCCTTTGTCTTCAATTTAAAACTTCAGTCTTTTTGTTTAAAGTGCAACAAATAAGGCAATGTAATTTATAATATATTTATATCATGCATATGTACTATTTTATACTATGGAATGTATGTAAATATGTATTATGCGCAGGGATATTTTGTAACCCTATATTGTCTGTATTTTGGGCTGAAGGCCTTATACTGAATATATCTGTCTGTCTGTCTGTCTGTCTGTCTGACAAGTCCTTTCAGTATGTAACTGCTACCATTTAGGACTATCTGCCTTTCGACCTAGAAGTAGTACCAACTCTGCCAAAAGTTCCAACATCTCAGCCTCTTCACTCACATGGTCAGCGTTTAA